GCTAATCGATTGTGCTCTGCAAGTCTGGGTTTGAATCCCATCCTCATTGGAGGCCATCAGGCTTCTCTCTTCCTTTACAAACAACCATCTTCCCCCTTTGGAACAATCACAGACAACACCATGTTGCTTCCTGCAAAGAAAAGCAAACTCAGAAACCCCCCTGCTTAAAATAAAATGTCTAAATACCAGATTTCTAAAAGAATTCTCTAGTCCTGGATTTCTTAGTTTTTATCTCAAAAGGCGACATCCTCATCAATTCCCCCAAACACCCCAGACCTCCATTATTATTAAAATTATTAAAATGCCCCAGTCCTCAGCAAGGCCACGACAGTGACCCACGGCGAGAGTGTCTAGGCCAAGCTGTTGTGAGGGAGGCAAATCAAACATTTTCTCTCTGCTTCCCTTGGCAAGGTCTGATGGGAAAACAAAATCCCCCAAACTGAAGATTTTCTGTTGAAAAACCAATACTAGTCTGCTTGGGGACTTTGATTTGAATGTATTATTATTATTCTCTTGTGATTTCTGAATTCTTTCAGTTCAGTCTTTGTGCTCCAGGTGTGTTTCCAGGTGTCGATTTGTGCAGGAGAGAGGCCAGGTCATGATGTCTCTTCCCCTCTTTCATAGTTTCTTCCAACTTGCTAGGAAGCTGCTTTTCTACGATGTGAGTCAAGCAGTGTCCATTGTCTCCGGGCTATCTCGGAGAAGTCTGCATTGTACACAGCTCCTGGGATAGTCCTTGGGAGCGTGGATTCCTTCAATGGGCCAACAGCGAGTCTGGCTCCTCCACTGTGGCACCGGAAAGGCTGGTTGTGGGCATTTGCCAACCTTGTAACATAGTTCAGTAACGCACACAGAGCAAAACATCCACTCACCATTGTGGATTGCCACGGGCACACAGGGGTGAAAGAAAATGCAGGCCTGTTATTTACCAGGCTGCACGTGGCAATAGACTATATTGGTAAGGGATGCAAGGAGAGTATGGGTCACGATGCAAGCTGCAGACACACACACACACACAACTAAAATGAATCAATTTAAAGTTTTATTGGGGATAATTACAAGGGGTAAAGGAGCAGCATTTGATTAGCTAATAGAGTTAATGAAACTTAAAACACACAATGACTAAAATATCTACTAACAATATTTATAAACAAAGATGCAGCAATTAGTAATAACTGATACTTACAAATACAAACCAATGCATAACGACGGCAAACGTAGACACTCTGTTTGAAACACGGGAGCTGAGAGAGAGGCTTCGAGGTGATCAGGCTCGGTTACGGGTGTACACAGGATACACAGGATTCGTTTTTATTTCTCCTCTCCCTGCCTGCACATGGCAGGCAGCCCATAAAGTACCAACTATGACATCATAGAAGTGTCATAGGGGACGGGGCCCAAAACCTGTTTGTGTTCATTTCTGATTGGCACAAGCAAAGTTTACACCAAGTAGGGGAGCAGGTGCCTCAAAGTCTGGTTTCGCCCCCAAAAGGTGAGGAAATGCATATTGCTATAGAATGCGTGCAACACTGAATGACAAAAGAAGAGGCCAGGGCAATACCGGTATGGGCAAGTTTTACAGGATGCAGACAGGAACTCATCTCAACAGTGTTCTTGGAGGCAGTGGGGATATTTTTTGTGTCCATCCCACCCAGTTTTTCAAGTGGGATTGAGCGGTACACAAGGTGAGCAAATATCGTCCCTAGGTTCATTCATTAAGGGCTTGATACTGCAATGCTCCCATGAAATCTGAGGGTCCTCAACTCTTACCCAGCAGGATCACACTCCATATCAGTGACTAACTGGGACTAGAACCTAAATTTCTTCTGATTCAGTCTTATGTCCTCATCCCTAGACTGCTTAGCACAACAAACTATAGCATAGAAAAACACACATCAGACTTACCGTGTTGCCCTTCTAATATCAACATAA